TTTGCGTAACCCATACCTTCCGAACACTCGATAAACTGCTATCGCTCCGAGTATAACGTACGCTTTTCTCGGCTTTCCACGCTTAGACGACCGTTAGCTGTATACCGTACCATAATGTTATATGAAACATTAAAAACTTAAAACAAGTCTTGCATTATAATTTTGCAAGTTATGGAAACGTGCGACGGCATCGTGAGACGTCTCTTAAATACAAGCTGCAAAAAGTCTATTACCGCGTTTCATTTTTTGACGTGTTGAACATACAGAATTTAATTCTTCACTTTTCATTACATTAACGAAATAATTTATTCGAGACAAATAAATTTATAGTTTAAAATTATGTTTAAATAATATACGAAGAACTCTGAGTGCTTAATGCAAAATGAAAATGTATTAATTTGTTTAAAAGATATATATATAGTGTATATATATATATATATATATATATATATAAAATACTTCAAAATGAATAATTCTGTACTTTCCTATTAAGTAGAAAATTGAATCGAAAGTTTAGGTCATTGAGAAGGTGCTTCCATCTTTCGTTGCTCTCAGTTTAACGTAAATTAGATTGTATCATGAATTGAATATACCGTTAATATGGGCTAGGGAAAGCAGGGCGAAAGAAAACTTCGTATGATACAAAACTGTGAGTGAAAAGTTTTTGGAGGATTGAACGGGGAATCTGGGCCTTCCGCGAGATATCCTGCAATGGCGGGACGAGGCGAGCAGACACTGACGAGATCGATCCACTTTGTCACCATAAAAGACCGACGGAACTTGAAGAGGGTTCCTCGAGACCCTTTTTAAAGTGTACGAGAGCACAAGAGGCGCGCTTTTGAGGCAGTAGAAATCTCCCGGCCGCTCGCCCCCGCCTCATACAGTTTCGGGTACGTTTGTAGAGAGTGCTTAGATGTTTACTTTCGATCGTAAGAACTTCGTGGCCTAAAAGAATAGAGCCGTCCCCCGATAGCATTTATCTGAGCGGGGGAGGGGGGCGGAAGGTGATGGTGATGCTTTCAAACGGTTTCGGTGCTCTTTGTGCGCGAACGATGAAAAAATCGCGAACAAGTTTCCAAGGGATTTTACCGAGCGTAAATAATAATTTCCCGATATTCGATACTAAATAATTACTTTGGGAGTATATATTCCAGCAATATAAATGTTTCGCTATTTTAAGGAGAGGCTAACTATCGTCGAAAGTTTTGAAAGAAAATATTGAATAAATAACAAAATCGAAATTTGAATATAATGTGTGGCAATAAACTGCGACAAGAGTTAACGATATGCAAGTTGTGCTTCCGCGAACCTGTTCGTCCACTCGATTTGATTAAGTATCAAAAAGTTTGTCGTGGACTTGCATATAATGAACGTGTAATTAAGAAACGTCAGCCTTTAACACACGATTGTGTCGTTCAAATGTAACATTATCTCGATTTAAGTCGACGCAAAACGACATATCGCAAATGATCCATCGATCGCATTTGTTTCAACTCGGGTCTGCGGCAAATCCACTCGGCAACGAACTCCACTCGCTGCGTCATTTTTCGCCCGCTATGAAATATATCACGCACCTAAATCTAATGGATGTCCCGTATAAAACCTTCACAAAATTATATAGCAAATGTGTAATGGCGCCCAGTGAATCGTCACGGAAAAGTCAGCGGCGAATATAATCCGTCGAAATGAAATAACGAGTCTGGATTTTGTTGCTCTCCCGAATAGGTTGAAATGTATATTAACAATCAAATGAAGAAATCTTGCTTCTAGTCTTCCTTGCTATAATATTAGAATATCGCTCATATTGCATTGCAAGATTTATTTTTTTTTTATTAATGTTACATTTTTATTATATAATTTATAATTTAAGAGAAAATATATTGTTTTATGTATCTTTACTTCTGAATTATACATCTCGAGGAAAATTACCGGAGAACTATTATCATTTGAATAAAAGTGCCACACGCGGTCCGTCGCGCAAGAAAATTACATGATTTAATTACATGATCGTGCAGACGAACTTCTCTTTTTAAACATTTACAACGTTCGATTTTATCGTACGTTCCACCGCGATGCATGATTTCGAGAATTGAGAATTGAGAATTGAGAAACAAATCTATCTCAGTCTGTAAAATTCTGTTCCTGATTTAAATATGCGGTCATATCTGTCATAACTGTGCGAGACCTGTCGCGCTCTCTACGATCCATATGTCCGTCCCGCGAAACGTCTGCGAAAATATACAGGAAATACACTATGACGTTCAACGAACCTCGGTACTGGAGGACTGTTCGCATGCCGGATGTCGAGGTTCTCGGACACTCGGGACCGAAATGAACGCGCGCAAAACGAAATAACAAAGCGCGCGAGCTCTCTGTTCCGGGGAGAAGAGCTTATCCGACTTCTCGTTCGTCTCCTTTCCCCATTGCGCCGTTTGCTTCCTCGCGCCAGGACTACCAGTCGGGATCGACGAATAAAGGCGCGGGCTTGGAGAAAAAAAGGAACCGTATAAATTGAATCGCGCAAGAAAGACGCAAAACGCGTCGCGTCGGGCGAGAAAGGGATTCGATATTTTTTTTTGTGTGTCGTTCTTCTGTTTAAAAGGTTTTTCCGCAAAAGTTACTTTTTATTATTTTACGGAGGGAATTGTACGTAAATATTGGAATGCTATAACAATATATAAAATGTATTCAGAATTTTACGAATGCAATAATCCAATAAATATTTTATCAAGGAATATATAAAAACATTATACCTAATTGTACAATATACCTGACGTAAAATATTATATTGTAGATAATATAACACAGCCAGAAACGCTATCGAGCAGATACCAGTTTCGTATTTTACACGCCATTAATTATAGCATTCGCGACCACTCCACATATTGTTCGGTTCTCGTCTTACAGTTTCACGCTCCAAATAATCGACTTGTTGCCACGTAATGAACACCACCTCATGGCAAGTCTGCGAATTATCAATGATATCTGTCCAACTGGGATTTATTATGTGATTATATAACTCACGTAAAAAAAAAATTGGTTTACAGCTACTTGTTACTTTCTTATGCCAATTGCTCGTTAATACGATTATATCTTCGACTTTTATGGACTCCTGAGTGAGTTCTATTGACTTGATTAACTATTACGCGTATCTCCCATCGTTATTCAAGTTATTTATGACATTTAATGACCGTTGCCCTGCATTACGTTCTCCTGGAACACATTGACGCCTTTAATTCAGAATTAATACGGGATGGATCTCACTTTGAGATAGCATCGGCTCTCTTAGCGATTGCTGTTCGCCCATCGTTCTCCGATATAGAAGCCAGCTCAAAATGCGATCCCCTCCCCCCACCCCGTGTTCTCCATCATTGATTATGCTTTTTTGCGTAGCTATCAACCGCATCAAATTAATACCTTGTTCCGATACATACCTCGTACAAAGCGAAGAGCTTCTGGTAATTCGTGCCAACCGCAAACAGGCACGCAAGCTTCCGAGAAGGCCGACCTGATAGTATCATCTTCGTGATGTTTCCACTTTTATATCTCTTTCGAGAATTTAGTAACGTTTACACGATATCAGGCAACGTCATATTCGAGTTGGATATATTCGCGATTGCGAGCGTCTGTTTCGGGTGAAGATCATCAATATGCAAGGATGCTGGAATTTTTAAAATCGCGCGGCACTGCGGTAAGTTGTACCTTTTTAAAGTCGCACCCAAGAGAAGGGACTTTTTCCGCTGTAACTCCGCATACACGATCGCATCGTAAATAATTTAAAGAATATTCAATTTTATATATTTTTATTACTGAAGTATTCATTATTTATTTATTATTACATCCCAATTACCAACTCATATTCGCTGCTTTTTATATACCATTCTTTTATCGCGAGTTTTATTATACACGTTGAATATTCAATTCGCTATTATTCTTATGATTAATTGATAACTGGTTTTATATTATCTATTATTGCCATCTGTTATAGTCGTTTTCGCTGTTTTCTTACACGATAATAAAAATAAAGTATAATATATTATTTTTATTAAAAATATATAAAATACAGAATTTTTAAATTAAACATTCCGTGATAACATAATACTTTTACGCGCATCATATAATTTTTAATAACATACTTTCGAAATAAAACAATAGTATCGTCTCTCTCGCTGAAACTTTAGTCTGGCTGTGTACGTGTGACTATTGATATAAGCGCGTATTCAAAGAGGTTCCGAAGTGTATACTCATCTGCAAGATCAGTTTCAGGTTTATGAATGTATCCGGTGTACGGGCGTATCCGTCTCTATTTCGAACACAATACAAACATCGGCGGACAGCCAGCGGATATTAAATTTGGAACCGGGTTTTGTCTAAACGTAAGAATACGCAACGGCTGAATGCGGCACGCAAGAGCATTCATTGTTGCGAGGGGGGTCCTCTGGTGATGGAGCGAAATCCATTTGTCTCGCATCGCCCGGGCACCGGCTTAAAAGGCCTTTCCATCTCCTCTCTTTACCGTCTCGGGCCCCGCCGACCGGACGAAAATTACTCGTAACAAGATTTATTTCATTTAAATGAGGATGTGCGCTAGGCGCCCGACTAGAGAGACGCGCCATCTCCTTTTCTCATTCTATCTCTTTCTCTCTTTCTCTTTCTTTCTTTGTCCCTCTTTTTTTCTCGAAACTCTACTTAAGTAACGCGCATTGACCCTGAAGCGTGACACGTCGCGACCTATGCCGCGCATGCATTCCCGCCGATTAGAAGAACGAATTCCGGAACGATCGGACGGTCTCGAGCGCGGTTAACGGATTTATTGACCTTCGTTGAAATCGCATTAAAATCTGTGTGTCAAATAAAGACTTGCCTTAAAATAAAAAGACCGAGAGCAGATGACGACGGGAGATATTGCGCGGATGTCTCAGTTTGATGAACATTCTGATGCTTGTTAAACGTGAGAAGCTATGTCTAATAAAGCAAGATAAAAGCATAATGCTAATTAGTTCTTGGAAACAACAAGCGTCACATCACATTTTATTTTACAGAAATTAATATAAACATTTATCGTATAAAACGCTTCACAGAACTTTGGCTTTGGACTTTGCCTTTGACATTTATGTTTATTCTTTTAAAGAATGAAGCATGCGAAACTCTTCTAGTTATGAATAAATTGAATTCTTCCTCGTCACATGAACGTTTCCCGTCATCAGAATTGTGCCGTATAAAAGCGGTTGTCTCATATATAGGTAAAGAGGCTTATAAAATCGATTATTAACGATCGAGGGAAGATGCGACTTTAAAAATGCGTCTCGACGATCGCCTTTCCTCTATGAAACGCGCGAAACTTCCACCATATAAGCGAACTGAAATAACCATATAAAACCATAGCCGCGGATATTATGGCCATCCTTATAGAATCGACGTTGAATATTTTACAGCGTCGACGCGCGATGGCAGCGTCTCGTCGAAGTGGCAATTTGCGCGTTGGCTCGAATTCGCGGCTTCGGATCCGCGTCCATAATCTGCATAAATTGGGTTGTTACTCTCGAGGAAAGCTAGAGTTAAAAAGTAAGTTTAAGGAGTTATCCCGTGAGAAAGTTCGGGCTTCTGATTTATAAGGCGCCGTAACGCCAAACTTTTACTTAACTCGAGCTCTAGGACGAAGTATAGTGTCGAAGTATCTTCGGCCGAGAATTACTTCGTAGCGTATTGAAATTACGAGCCTGCGAAGAAATTTTATTGGCATAGGAATTAATACGGTTAGCGCGTTCCCGGGGTGTATCTCGTTTAAAGTTTCTTAAGTCGATCGCGATCCTCCGTCAAAACGATCGTTGATATTTACAAAAACATTTCATCGTAAACAATCACGTTGAAATAGATTTATTGTGCGAACCTTTCAGGCTTTCTATTAGTGTACATCAAAAAACGATTCATTCTGTAACTGCCTGTTCTTCCGACAGTCTCACAGACTATTACTGATTGCGATACAACAGCCGTAATCTAATTTTGATGAAGAGCTGCTGTTTCTTCCAGTATACAGACAAACTTGTGGAACGAAAATTACATTAACGGCTATTTTGATGCTCTGACTTGCTGCAAGAAATTCCGCTCTCCTCTCTTTTGTCAGCTCTCTCTCCTTTCCAATATAAATGTATGTCACGTTTTTTCTTTGATCTTTACCGTACGAAGATGCTGCCTTCTCAGCCTTCTATCTTCCTTTATATCTTGTCGACGCATTATTTCGCAGGTGTTTCCTTCACCATATTTGTGTGTGTCTTTTAATTGTGTGTGTTTCATCATGTTTTGAACACGAAAGTTACTTCATCAGTATCAATTTCAATCATCAGCGGTCGCTTCCATTTTGTATATTTGTGCAACGTATTTCAAAACGTTCGAAAGGCGTTACTTGCGAGAGTAGACAGCGCGTCACGACCCTCGATCGAAGAGCGATCTTTTTTTTTCGTACGTTCACGACACGTGTTACGGACATCTGTCATTCGTCACCAAGGAAGACACGTGTCAGAGCAGTGACTTGTCGTAAATGCGCGATGACTAAATCTGAATATCTGTTTTTACTTGAGCGCTTGAATGCATTTTGCTAATCTTATACTTCCCATATGATCATATCGAAATTCTGTCTGATTATTTTAAATCAAAAATATTTAACGAAAATTGTGTCATAGAATAGAATTGGAAAATGCAAAATATATCGGATGTGGAAAGCATATTTTGAGCATGCATTTGAAAATATGTGCAGAAAACGCTTAAATACGTATTTAATCGTAATTATGCTTTTAGTATTTGAAATTTCGCAATATCTCACTCGATTTTAATAATAATATAATTGAAATTAATATAGAATTCAATATTTTAGACATTGTTTTTGTAAAGAAAAAATTAGATTAAATTATAAATTTCAAATATAATACGTAAGACTAATTGTAAGTATATTGTGAATTTGTATGTTCAATTTTATAGTTTTGAGCAAAGATATTCTTGTTTATCGTAAGAGCGAGTTTTCATACATCGATAAAATGCTTAGCAATTTGGATTGGTACATAAAAATATTGTGAATTCTTTTGATACAAACGGCATGCAGCGATAAACTACCAACATATATTTTTGTCGCATGCCACGTCGATTTTTATCAGAAGCATCGTCACAGACAAATCTCGAAAGGGGAAGAAATATCGTCAGACTTCAAACGTTCGCATCGTCGCGTCTCTCGCGTTTCTTGCACCATAAAATTTCCGAAGAGTAGCGCGAAGCAGGAAGTGCGGAAGGCCCTGACGTATTTTATGGACGTTGATTTGAATTTTAAATGTTCCGTGTGGTTTACACTTGACTAATTTTCAATGACGTCGCGATCAGACACCCTCGCCCGTCCACGATCGGTTCGATGCATTTTATGAAATAATTAAACTCGCATCGCGACAGATTAATCGTTGTAATGTTGAGGTTGCAATTTAACCTGTCTGCATACGAATAATGTCTCGACACCGATAAGCTTACATTTAGATTAGTATTGGTAGTATCAACATTGACAAATGTTTGCCCATCATTTAGAAACAAATGAACAATATCTCATATGCTGCACCGTTCATTGTAAATATTGACGCGATCAATACGTATGCGTACGTGATCTTTTCATCCGGAAATCATGTTTCATGTATCTCGAGAACAGTTTACAACAATATATAATTTGATATTATATCTCATTTTCATTGGCATTCGATTTTAAGTTTCATAATAATTTTTAATTATTTATATTTTTGACGACAGCTGTTGCATTGAAGATTTCATTGACATTTTACACATCTCTAATAATCTGTTAAATAATGTATGCTTTTGCGTATTTCTATTTGACGAGCAATTACTTGTTATTGCAATGACATGTGTGCATACGTTTGTGCAAATGAAGAAAATATTTAAGTATCTTGCTTTGTATATTAAAGGATCTTGCATCTCGCGCGTATTTCCAGCGAGCGTTTACAAATGCGTAACGATTAACGCAAGCTCAATGTTTCTATTTGAATTGCATACGAAATGGCTTGTTGCGAAAAGCGGTTCGTTAGCGCTGATAGTCAATATTGATTACCCGGAAATTTTGCTGCATCGCATTTACCCCTTAAGCCCGCGGTACCCGGTAACAGCAGCGGCGCGATTTCTCCGCCCATCATCATTTGCAGAGAGAGGGGCAAGTGCTTTTCCTCAAAATGAACGGCGACGCGTGCGTTAATTTCACTCGGTTACCATTAAACCGTGCGTTCGGAGTATCGATATGGAGGGTCCGCGACGATACACAGTACGCTTTATTCAATACGATTCATAAAGATAACAACGCACAACGGCCGATATCACTTTTATTTCGTTCCCGTTGTGCCACGTTCATTTTTTTTTTACGCGCTTGCATGTTGGTCGCGTTGGCGCGCGTTATATTCAAAGTCATAGCGACACACTTTGCCATCGTGTTCTCCGTTTCATTTAAATTGCTAGAAGAAATGGACTTGCAGTTTAATCGAATCCTTTGGACGGACTACGCACTTGCTTTCCAATGCACTCGCTAATGACATCACGATAAAACGTGATATATATTCACGCGCGCGACATAAATAAAAATTTATTCATTTGATTCAAAAAGTACCAATTGTGCTTGTTTGTTAATGTACATAGATGTAAAAATAAACTAAAATGTAATATAATCCTGTCACATTCTGTAATAACAAATAGCGAGAAAATAAAAAACAATAAAATTAAAGTCGTTTGTCCTTTGCGAAACTTTTATGAGGATTACAATAGGATTAAATATTTTTTTTTACACATTTCATACTAAAAACTAAAATCCTTATGTTTATGAATTCCATAAAATTCAAGTACGCACGGAAAAAACAATTTTGCTGAATCCAGATCTGAAATTAATTTTTGTTCAATAGTCAAAATTATTTTGTGCGAAAGTCAAAATGATTGCTAGAATATCAAAACGTTTTATAGCAATACTTATCAGTTTTAACATTCCAACAAATTATTTTGATGATTCAATAAAAAATTATTTTCAGATCTGTTTTTAGCAAAATTTTTAGGTCTTTCAACAAAATCGTTCTTTCCGATTGTGAGACATAAAATTTGATGGAGTATCTAACATGTATGTACGTTAAATTAAATATAAATTTTATAAACGATATTGTTTATAAGAGAAGAAAGAGAAGAGCACGCATACAACAGCGTTGCACATTATAATTCGTAACTGTTAGTAACCCTCTCTCGGTTTACCTTGCACTTCTCATTCTTAATTCCAGTCGGTTGAAAGGCATTTGTCGCTACCCGTAGGAACGGGAACACGAAGGAAACGAAGTAACATGGTTCGCGCATTCGGAACTATAAAGTAGGAAATCTCCCAACCGATTCGGTCCCATCGTATTTCTCGATACTCGGTTACACGGGGTACATACGGCCCCATCGTGCCGACTTTCTCATACTTTCTCTCGCGCAGGATAACGATACCGAGCGAAGGCGCGACGATAAAGGAGCATCGAGAGAATTCATCGACTTCGATCTACAATCTCCCCTTTCTTCAGTAAGCTTTATTCCTTTGCCCTTCCGGCTGCATTTCTAGTCGTCTACTTAACTTTACGGTTTTTCGCAGAGAAATATAGCTAAATGCCGGGCGATCTACAATTCACGCTGCTTTCGACGGCGATTACGGCGTATAAAACCCCTCGGCTGGGACGCAGCGCCGATAAAAATCGTGAATTATAAGTATCTGATGGCGTTTACGAATACAGAATGGCAGGAATGAGACATAGTTGGAATATAAGTAGGAATATTTTATTTACTACTATCGGTGAAAGTTAATTTATGCACTTGAGCAGCGACGTTACGTGTATTTCACAGTTGGGACAGAACAATTACACATAATTTATATTTTGTAATATATAATTTCCGATATCTCTAATAATCTTATTTGTAATTATAGCGTTTAAGATAAAATCTTATTCGGCAGAAAATAATTTAAAATTTTTACTTTCTCTCTTCTTCTTAATTCGCGTGTACGCTTACAACTTCGCGATTTAATTAGCATATAAACGGTCGCGTAGTTTATGCAACTGTTATCAAATATTCAGACAAGCGATGTCTGATGCGTATATGCATTGCACGTACGATATTGATAGAGTGTTTATTTCACTGCGTGGGATTAACCAAAGTGTAAAGCGGTACAAATACGCGAGGGCTAAGTAAGTTGCGGCGATATAGATAACCAACGGCGATAGTAAATCAACTCCAGCCTCCACCCACATGGCAGTTACGAAATTCAGTGCAGTTCGCCGATAAATCTCTTTCCGTCTCTCTCGCTCTTTCTTCCTCCTCCCTTTCACGTTTGTTCAATTCCTCCAGCGTGTTCTGATTCGCACTTGCTCCGTAATTTGTCACGTTTCAATCGTTTCTTCCTCTCCTCGAGTCTTTCTTATCGCATTATGTGTAGGACATCCTTATCAATAGTTACACTTGGTGCGTATTTTTTTTTTCAGTCGATAGCTATGTCTGGCTAAAAGGGAATAAGACGCGCAAGTATTGGAAGATAATTACGCACGTACAAATGCAGGTACAATTGAGAGAGAACTAAAAAGGTCAGTTCGATAAAGATCAGGGACGGATATACGAAGTTCGGGTTATAGCCGATAGATCGCCCGAAGCACTATTCGGAATATCGAAGGAATGTTACGATTCTTATTTTTTTACTTATTGCTTCGTTGTACAATATTATAGGGCGCGGTCAGTGCAACGAAGAGCCGCACCTTTATTTTATTCGTATAAATTATGCATAGCGATCTTATCCTACTTTTAGCATATCTATATACTCTTTCGCGAATATTCAAGGTTATCGATTCTGCCCATGTTGCCGAAATATTTGGATTCGATGCTAACTAACAAGCTCGGAATTAATATCAGATCGAGATGCGAGATCTCTCGAAACGGAAAAGAATACTCATTCCAGAAAACGGTCTAAAATCACGCAATACGCATTCATTAGCGATGCCTTAGCGAGTTAATGTCTCAACACCTGGTACGCATCAGAAACACCCCATAAAAGAATTACGTGTTAAACTGGCTCGCATGACAAATACTCCAAGATGCGTGATGAAGTGAAATAAAAAAAGAGTAGAATTAATGCAGGACAGTCTAATGGCTTTGACGAGTATCGCTGTGCTAGTGGATCGCCTCTGGGTTCAATTTACAGTAAGAGTATAAAAAACGGGAGAAGAAAAGAGCAACTGCGGGCCCACTGTGGGAACTGAATTATTCATGTTACCAACGCTTCGAACCGATGATAAGGAAAGAGGGGGAGGGGGGAAGAGGCGACCGTAAATTCCAATTTATAAAACTGTTAAGCATTCGGACGTCCAGTTATCTGCGTCCTTCGTACCTACTTTTCAACCATCCCCATATATTTTTACCATCGTGTATCGATCTCTCTCTCTCTCGCACGCGCGCGCGCTTGTGCTGCCTTGTGTGCATGCACGTACACACTCGCTTTCACCTGTCTGTTTCATCGTGCTATAAAGCGAGAACCCTACCTCGGTCTCATGGGGACGCGGTAATGCTCGTCGAGAGGATGAGGAATGCCCTAGTGTATATATAGCGTACACACGCACTCGTGCGTATATACGTGCGTATACGCATGTATAGACGTATATATATGCATGCGTCCTACAGGGGGTAACTCGCATACCTCAAGCGGTGGCTCTCCTTCCCACGTTTTGAGGGGTGAAAATGTGCCCCCGGCGTACAGGAAGGGTAGGTAATTGTTTTGCCTTGGGTATGCCACTCTCTCTCCCCCCTTTCTCTCTTTCTCTCCTCTACCCCCATTCCTTCCTCTCTCTTCCTCTTTTCCCTCCGATTTGTATCATGCCCTTTATCCCTTTCCATCCCTCCCTCCTCCTCTGCTTATCACCCTTCTTTCCTTTTGTCAGCCCTCTTACCCCTACTCGGCTCCCTTTGAGGTAAAGAAACGATTTTGGCGGTAAGTCGACTCGCACATTAATTACACGCAGCGGCTTGTGTCAGACGCAATCGGGCTATATGATCCGCGCACGCCTACGCGTTTTGTTCTCGATAAAAAAAAAGAGAGAGAGAGGAGAGAGAGAAAAGCGCTCGTCGACCACGCATCGTCAGTTTCGCCCCTTTCGTCCGACCGACCAACGAGTTTTCGCGGAAACGATTGTCCTGTGCTAACCGGTACTTTGTGCTTGCGCGTCCCATTTGCCCGGGCGGTTCACTCATACAAGCGGTCACGAACGATCGAATTACCGGTCCATCATCGATTCCATCTCCCGCGCACATCTCTATCCTGTCGCGCTATCCGTTTCGACACCAGTACGTGTCACCTCTCTAGAATCATGCGTGCGGTATTATACTATATAGTACCTGCCGCCAGTCACTTGCGTCCGAGGAAGATCCGCAATTGGCGAGTCTTTGTCTGTACAGCATGCGTCCTATAGGAGAGGACAACGGGGATTAAAGGT